TCGACAAGGAACTTCCGTCAGTCTTGATTTTCGCGCTGGTTATCACTCGTCAACAATCCAACACCTCTAAAATATTGACAGAGCTAACACTTTCTGTATGATTGTAATTCTTATCGCCCACTGTCACACTTTGAGACGTCGCCATTCACGATATAAGTAGACTTCATTAGGACTAAGATACTCATCAGTCATCAACCATTGATTATTGTTTGAAATCGGATTCGTCTAGTCTTTTAATACAGAATGAATTGTATAATGAGTATCAGTCCGTTCAAGATTGTTGGGGATGTTTAATCCCCCAGAACTCGCTTGATAAATGCCTTAATTTTGGCTTTCACGTTTGCGAGCATGGGCTGAGCAGCTGACCTTGAGATTTCATTTCGCACCAAGAAAACCCATGGCTGTGATCAGCTGCCATGTATTTTAGTGTTCTATTTTCGTATCTGTCTCAAGGAAGTTTCTATGATGTATAAATAAACGAGAGTTGTGTGCTTGATTGTGTTGTCATTGCTGGGTGTTTGTAGAATATGATTTCTACGCCTACCAAGTCTTCTGTTTACAGCTTGGGATTCAAGGTAGCCTATCTGGACGCTGGTAATTCTCGTACTCGAGATTCAATACTCATTAGATTGAATTAACAGATTATATATACTTTGAATCTATACAAATATTCATTCTAAAGTCAAACTTAAGCATTTATTCAGTTCATATGAGTTAATTGAACTAATAATGTATATAAGTGAACGTGACACTTTGTCTTAGGGATATAAGTAACTAACGAATATGCGTTTGAATACATTAGAATTGAAAAAAAAATTCAATATGACAGGCTCTTATCTGTTTTTTAATGACTTTCCGAATGTGTGTGTTCCTACTTCTGTACAAAACCATACTACTTACAAATTTAATAAATAGTTAATGTATTCTGAAATCATTTTAAGACATACTATTTGATGATTTCTGTTAATATTTATAATATATATATTTACTTTTGATTATTGTAAATGTATTCATTCGGTTTGTTGGGTTTTTATAATTTCATTCTGTTTATGTCTAATACCAAAACAAAATGGCTGTCTAGCGCTTCCAGGTTTCTAATGATGATCCAACATTGATCGATCGATCACTTCTAATGGACAGATAACGCTTCTTCAATCATGAAAAACAAAAATTTCTTAACAGTTGACTAATATCCGAAGACAAAAACAAAACATCAATCAGAATTATTTTAGCATTAGAAACCTTGAGTCAATTCCGAATTCTTACTGATCTGCAATGAAATAGCTTCTTTCTTACTAACCTGACTACTCTTAGTCTAGAATTCCGTTAAAACCAGCCTCTGTGGTGCGAGCTACTTATAAGTAGTATATGACGCGAGTGTAAACGTAATGTCTGGCAGCACAAGATGGGGGAAGATCAAGAGAAAGGAACACAATGGAGTTTGTATGAAACACATGAATAGTGAGTGAAATGTCAGACAATGGATTGATGATGGATTGAAGATTTGCAAATTAACGATTTACGATATGGTTTTCCTATTTTGCTGAGTAACTCTGTAATTTGCGATGAATACAATTCGGTTGCCCCACCTGCGTTCTCCTTCACTACACCTCCACAAGATTCGCTATATTTTTCAAGCAGACATAGTTTGCATTGCTAAACATACCAGACTATATCACACCATAAAATAAGGAAATTTATTTAATAACACATTTGTTCGTCATTTTTTTATAAAAGTTAAGTCATCATTTATATAAAAAGCAATCAACCGGAAAATTAATCAAACGAGTCATCAATAGCTATTTTTCCTTTTGGCTAGAAGCTGTTTTTTTATTAAAATTAAATTAGATATTAAGTATAAAATATTAAGAATTAGTTAAGTAAAATGTAAATTGATATATGCGGACAGTAACAGTGCTCACTAGTGACTAGCTTCGTTAGGAAATCCTCGGAGTTCTAGTTGAGAAGACGTGACCAATGGAGTTCAACCCTGTCGGGTGTAGGCAGTAACTACCAAAGACAAATGGGTGAGGTCGCGCAAAATCCGTAGATCAATCAGGGTTAGATAATAACACCGTTGGATGCTGGCCGGCTCAGTGGTCCGATGGTTAGGCGTTGGCGCGCAATACCGAAGGTCCAGGGTTCGAATCCTGTGAGGTGCAGGAGTTGTGGATGCGCACTGCTGATCAGCAGTCCCATACCAGGACAAAATGGCCGTCCAGTGATTTCAGGTTTCTCTAATGGTGGTCTAGTAACAATGATTGATTGATGATTTCAAATGTGTATAAGTTGATATAGTCAGAGGTGTAACAGATAGTTTCTGTCAGAGATTGATTAACAAGTAGATAGTTTGCATGAAATGAGAGAACAACTTAACCAAAATTGTCGATATTCATGATATACTGCTAACAAATTGAAATGTTTTAGAATAAGATGATTATATAATATGGGCTTCTAATGAACTCTAAACTTTCAATCGCGGAATGACTAGAATAAACTGAAAATTAGGGATATTTAGAACTAAGTAGAGTATTATTTTTAGTAACCAAACCTTTAGAAGGCATCTGTTCATACAAATCACATGTAACCTAATTATGCTTTCTGAAAAATAATTGGTATATTTGTTACATAATCGGTTAAGTTCAGTTCAGTTCGCTTTTTTAGAAAAAACCCATACAAATGAAGTTATGACAAGATCACATACTGTATGTCATACTGAACACAGTTCATGTTAATCCGATACAGAGAATATTATATCCTAAATGAAAATTACACTGAAATAAACTACGTTATGCTAAATAAAATATCATACTACAAATAAAACAAATATTACATCATATTGGATTAAAAAGGGAAGAAATATTGAACAAAAATCATAACGACTCGAAAATGTAACCTCGCTTTTTTATCCCCTCATAACATCGACTTTTCAAGTTATCTTCTACTTTTTATCCTACGAATACAATCTTACTTCTTAGATAATGCCACTTTTTTTACCAGCATTGATACTGATACTACAGTAGTGAACGAGAACACAGGTGGGGCAACCGAATTGTATTTAACGAAAATTACAGAGTTAATCAGTAAAATCGGAAAACCATATCGTAAACGGTTAATTTGCAAATCTTCAATCCATCATCAATCCATTGTCTGACATTTCACTCACTATTCATGCTATTTCATACAAATTCCATTGTGTTCCCACTCTTCTTCCTTTCTTGATCTTCCCCCATCTTCTGCTGCCAGACATTACGTTGACACTCACGTCATATACTACTTATAAGTAGCTCGCACCATACTACTTCTGCTAATCTAACATGTTTCCATAATTTCATCTAGCTGTGTTAGTATGAGTTATAAAAAGAGTATCACTCTTTCATCAAAGCAGTCTGTTGATGCCTCGCAGAGATATGATCTGTTTGCCTTCATTCCCTAATTAATTTCGATAGTCGAGGAAACAAATAGTACGTCTCTCCATCCTTAAAGTAGCTGCCAACTAAAGCTAAACGGTTGACAAGGGGAAGCTAAGCAAGATAGTTTTTTCGAGCTACTTCATTGCCATCTAAGAGGACAGTATATAAAATATTGTTGCATGAATTGCAGTCTAAGATTATTTGTTAGGCTACACTTGTTAGACCACGAGATCTCGCCACTGTATCCTCAGGAACCTAATTATTGAACTGCTTTGGTTCACTATACTAGTTAGATGAGGTCAAGTAGATACTCGCATTCGGGTTCTGTTTGGGGCTTTCAAAAACAGGAAATATATTCACGGTAAAGTAAATTGTCCGATATCACACAGGTTTAGAACATCTAGAGTTAAAACAAGTCTTTTGAGGAGCAGTTTCAGATCATGAATAGTACTCGGCACATACAGAAAGTGAGCCAGAAGGGGAAAGGTTGGTAATGAAGACAAGAAGTGAAATTGCTGATAAGTATAATAAATTCGAATGCTACTAGAAGTGTTTAAGATGCTGATAATTTCTGATTGTTTACACCATAAAATAATATATTATGACAAAAACTGGATCGTATTTGATAATCTGGTCGATTCGAAAATATGACTGCAGTAAGTAACTGTCTGTAGATCAAAATTAAGCTGCTTTTGGCTCCACGCTTTTGAGACCTTGCTGTCTGTACTGAAACTGCATTGATCAAAGGATGATATTTCGAAGGTTAACATCCACCAACCCATCGCCTCATCCGTGATGAAGTAGTATTACTAGAGATGTAAGCTACTTAATGAGATTTTGCTGTCGTCACAATCGGCTATAGTCGATTTCACCTTCGAAAGTAAATTATGCTGCTCTTAGCTTCATTGCTTCCAAACAACCACATCATGTATTTATTGTAAAACATGAAAAGAGAAACGCGCATCTAAACCATAACCATAACTAACCTAGGGGTGGCCAAACCAAAACATGGCAGAAATCCATGAAGTCACTGACAAGTGAACTGAATCATGTTGATAGGTGTAGACTACCTCGTTGGGATCTGCTAGACGATAGTAACCGATGGTTAGTGACCTTGAACGACATGGTTCAAAATCGTTTGCAATGGTATAGGTGCATTCATTCATTATGTTCTCTCAAATTCTAATCTTCTGAACTCCTCACCGTCTGCATCTTTCTCTTTCGACAGTTATCCCATCGAATTCTACTTCTCGCATCATATCTTCGAACCCTAATCTTCACCATTACTGCTAATACTTCTATTGTCGCTACCACTCTGGGATTTAAACTGACAGTTGCGTCTCTGTGTTAACGCTGTTTGGTGACCTGAACTTAGGTACTCATGTACGAAGTTCTATGTTGTAACTGATTGACACTATAACTCAACTGGGCCATTACGATTGATGACTAAGAACACTGTAGCCAGGTGTAAATTCAATATACTGAAATCCTTGTTATACAGCAATGAATATTCACTTCATTATCAAATAATGAACTACAACTAAATATACAAACTTTATAACTACAAATAAGAAACTATTTAGTTAATGTACATATACACACAGCCAATGTGAATAGCAAAACAAGTGAAACAGTCAATGAACTCTGAAAGAAAGTTTTTATTAGATTAGTGGAATGAAATTTATTTTCTATTAGTATATATGTACATACAAGCTTTAATCAGTAACAACAGTGTTTAGGAAAGGATCACTAGTTAAAAAAAGGAAGCTAAAATAAAGGCCTACAGAATCACCAAAATTATTCACACTTCAGCTTATGGACTGGATTGTTACCAAGAACAAAAAAATAAGTCCGAACTTTAATTCATATAACGTTTACTATTGTCCTCATGTATTATGGTTAGTTAGGACAATTGGAAAACAATTTTTACAGTTTTTTTTTAATAGCCGAAAGTCAACAAAAAATTCATGATTTTGAGATTATTTTTTGCTTTGAAAATAGAAAAAAAATTTTCCAAAAAAACAAAACAACCACTATATTGTTGAATTGCAAAATTTACTTAAAAAAAAAACTATGAGTAAAGAAGACTAGCAGAAAAACTTTACACCTTCTCCTCCCATTAATTCAGCTTGACCTCGTTTCTGAAGAACAGTTATTGCATTTGTTAAAATGGATATATCTAAACCATGAAAAGCTTCTTGTTTTGTATCGTCACCGTCAGTCAATTCGTAAAATGTACAAACTGAATTCCCATGACCAGTGGATCGAGCCCATTTCGCGATAAGATCAGCCCATTCTTCAGGAGTTCGCCATATAATCTTGGCATTGGTATGTGATCTGAAAATCAAAATTGAGTGTATCTGTCAGTGTGAGAATTACTCACCGTTGTTAACCAATAAAATATTGAAATATTGCTTAAATATTACGTTTACGAGGGCTTACTAAGATAATCATCAATGAGAGACGCGTCACAGTAAAGATCGATCGACTACTAAATGATCTGTTTGGAAGAAATTATAGGAAAATTAAATTTAATAGTAAACTAATGTCTAAATATGTTTTCCTGGCCTGCCTCTAGTTAAAGTATGATGAATCGGATAAAGCCCATCTACTAGAATAGTATTAAAATTAAGGAAAGATAGTCAATAAATGGAAATTAGCAGTAATATATAGTAGTAATTTTATATATATCAAATAAGCCATGATATTATGATAATGTAGTGGGTCAGATAAAGAAACAATTCTAATGGACATGTTGATCTGGCCAAGAACCTTTTCACATAAAACTAAATTCAAGAGAGCTTTCGATAGATATAACACGTTCTTTTTTGTTAATACGCAATATTCAGCCTTTGTTATTTGTTTATAGATAAGATAGAAGCCGTTTGGTAGTTAGAGTGATTGACTTAAAACTACTGGGTAGAGTGCTGTATTTAGCCAGCTAACCAATGATTATAAGATACCAAAAGGATTTAGAGATCCCATAAAAATAATCGCAAGAACTGACAATCTTTTGTACAACTGTACATTAGATTGGGTAAACCTTTTGTGAATCCTGGAAATGGATTGGTGGTTCAATCATAACTTACAGAGTACTTGATTGTAATAGTGGATTTGAGAAAGCAATACTAACTTGGCCTTTTATAATAGATTTTGCAATATAAAGACAATTCATAAGCTCTGAACTGATAACTTCACAACTCTCAACTTTTGTACCAACTGGTCAATGACTGGAATCCAAATTCCTCATTCAGACGTATTCAGGCGAGAATAACTGAAACACTGATAGTCTAGCTATTAAAAATAAACGGGAAATGCGTCTTAGTAATAGACTTACCAACCCTTTGTCTTACTATAAATCTTGGGCTTATCAATATTTTTCACCTTTTAACCGGTCTTTGTGGAGTTTTTGAGATTTAGTTCCCATCTTTAGGTTTTTTACCACCACTGATACAATTAAATGAACTTTGATAGACACTTTTGACGTGTTGATTTGATTTGCGGAAACACGCCGTCTTATATTTAGAGCAGGAGTTCTGCATTATTATTAGCCATTACACGAACTGTGGGTCAGATCTAAGTACACGAATGTATACATAGTGAGTTGCACTATCACGTGGCTATTGTAACGGGGTCCATGCTAACAGCAAGTGAATTCCGATCTTTCGTAAGCTGTGAAGCGCTAGATTTATTCACCTGGTAGCTAGTACTACTAATCATATTTTTCCGTCGACAAAGATTTGCTCAGATCACTCAAGACATCGCTAATCTCCATTTGCATCGTGGCGGTTTTTTGTATTGACAAGGTGAGGCTAAATGAATGACTGCACTCGGAGTCTGTATGAACATTTTGGAAACAAACCATACGTCAATCGCACGGGAATCTTAAGTCCAAATTAAGGAGGCCTGTTGTCTAAATTGGTCAGTCGTGGAGATAAGGGAGTTATTAGGATGAGTAAAAAGGATTTTATTCTGACCGATTTGGTCTGGTGTGCTTTTATGGGTATGAGGGTGGATATTAGTTCCAGGCTGCCCTCACCGTGAAAGGGCGGTTTGTCAGAAGGGGCATCGGTCTCATGAATTTCGAAGGAACTCGGCCTTCATCATGAGACGTCATAACTCATCAGAATGAAGACCCAACTCCCAAGGCAGAGTTTAAATGGTTTGAACTATTTGGCACCATGTTCGAACATTAAAAGCTACGTGTAGTTTACATAAATTTTTCAGGAGACTAGGAATGACATTTTGTATACTCGAGTTGTTAGTATTAGCAGCGAGAGGTGATAGAGGTATATGAGAAGGGTTAGCCATAGAGATGAGCTATAGAGGTTCCACCTATAGTGAACATGATGACAGCTTAAGTTGAAAAGTCTGTATTTTAAGACAATTTTTAACGGTACTAGAGATTTCAATGGGGAAATTTTGGGACAGGGTGTAAGCCTCTTCCTAACAGGGCTCCAATTTATTCAAAGGAGGGAATGGGAAATTCGAGTATCTGAATGTGACTTATGAAACCTGGTCTGTTTTATGACATATGTACTCAAAATGTATACGTCGTGTTAACGCCATCAATTTATGACAGAGAAGGAAATTAAGTAACTATGCAAACACGTCAAACGGGTCAGATGATTACGCAAGGTTCATTCTTCAAGATCAAAAGGAATCGATGAATACTTATGTAATTACCTGTCAGACCATTCAAGATTCCCACGCTTGTGAAGTTCAGTTAGAATGAGGTCGACCAGTTCTGGGCTGGCTGAGCGCTGAATACTTTTATTATTAAAAAGCGGACAGGAAGGGTCACGAATACTTGCAACGCTCAGTGAGAACTGCTTTCGACTTTGAAAATAATCAAGGACTAACTGGCACCATGCGTTAATTTGTTTGCGACGGGTTTCAACATTTGGTTGGAGAGTAAAAAATGGCGGGAACATGTACTGCCATGGCCATATATGATCAGCCTTCGGCACCAAGGACATTGAGGACAAGAATCAAAACTTGCACGCAATCCAATATCCAATATCCTTTTCACAAGCTAGTATAAATCAATTGATTTCTTTGAGCTCGATTCGTGTTCTTTCGGTACGGTTTAAGGTATTTGGTAGTGTCCAATGGATGTGGCTATAGCTACTCGACTATACTAAATCTAGTCAGTTGTCAGTTGTTTGAGAGTTTGCATGTTGCGTGATTTGAATCTGTTTGTTTGTTTCAGGGCAGTAGGGTGTGGTGTAAGCAATGGAGAGGAAGCAAAGATAATACATGAGGTATATTATGTTAGTGACCTTGGAAGTTGACAATAATAACAGCAAGTTCGTCCTAAGACATGCATCAGGCTCTGCTACTCCACGACGGAGATGATCCAATATCCAATACCTTTTCGACGAGCTAGTGTAAACCAATTTGATTTCTTCGCGCTCGATTCTTGTTCTTTCGGTGATAATCTGAATGTGCATAGGTGTTTATCACGTCTTTTCGTAAAGTTGTCACTACGGCTGGGAAAGCATTCGAAGTTCCAACAAGTACTAATGAGAAAAAATGTGCATCTGGTGCACCACTGCAGCTACAGCAGTTGTCGAATATCCAAACAAATTGTTCAAACTAAGTTGTAGAGTTCAGTGGGAGGTGGCCGCAGTAGATTTTTTTGCTTGTGTAGTGCATCCGATCGCCGGGACCATGATCTTCGTGTCTTGTGCATTGGACTGTTGATTGAAGCCAACTGTCATTATTGTACGTTTATTTCGGCTTCCCTGTTGTTTTCTTACGGATGCAGGTCGGATCTTGTGACATCTATGGTACACGGTGAACTACCGTACCGTTCTGCTCTTGAGCCCCTTTCGATGTACTAACAACGATTTGTCACGCCTGACTAGGATCGGGAGGGACTACCAAACCGAAGGTCTATGAGAAGTTGGGAGGATTTATTCGTCAACTTCTGTAGAGTCCAAGGTTGCCATCATCGCTGCCGGAAATATTTTTGTCTGAATGAATCTGAACTGTGAGCAAACAAACCAGAACCATTGGCAGGGGTGACTCAGCATGAACACAGTACCGTCTAGGTACTGCATTGTTGCAGCAACAATGAACCCATCCACTTCATAAGGTGTATTCAAATGCAGAGTCATTAGTTTCGCTTGGTGACTTGCAGGCAATACATTTATCTTTATATGTCTTCTGAACAGTAGACTGTGTCGGTTTAGTTCATTGTGGAACAGACTATCAATTTCTATCCATGTCTGAGACACAATCACTAGGTTCAACAAATCGATAATGCTATTGTTAGTTTCTAAACAGATTTGAAAACTGCTTCTAGATTTCACACCCCTGATCCCGATGTACCTTTTTTATGGTCTGACTAAATTCTAGACTAGACTTAGAAACCATTAGTGGATCATGAATACACTGAGCCTTGATCGCCATTCATGTAAGCATCACCAAAGACAAACACATGGCTCTCCCACTCCTACTAACAGTATTAAGTTACGTCCTTATGATCCTATAGCACGAAATTTGGAGGTTCCTTACTACTTAAAATGGCGTCATTATCTTCCTATCCCTCACATCACATTAAACATTTTGACCTTGCTATGCAAACTGGTATGCCTCAACTAGGACATTTTATTTCAGAAAGAAGTATTGTTAATAATGTAATCGATTAGAAACAGAAAAGATCCTGGTAGTGAACCTTGGAGACCCAGCTGGGAAAAATGAAAGTTTCGAAGAAGAAAGAGTGATTACTTACACGGTCAATCAATAGACATAGCTTGAGCTTACTGATGCGACATGTTTGACTGACCCGATCAGAAGATTTGAGAACTTGGAGTATATATATTATACACCTTTCCCTTACGATCGAAGATGGTTGTCCATCTACCCATCACAGTAGGTAGAATGGTGGTGTCCATATACGTCTTCCAGAAACTGTGTTTTTGAAATGAAAATAAGTTTTATGGATAATAAGTAAGTAATCTTGAGGTTCCATTAGCTATAAGGAGATTGAAATAAATGCCACCGACAGATATTTTAAACGTTTACGGCTCCAATCTCCTTGGGAAACTAATTTAATGTATTCCAGACTCTAATAAGCTGAGACCACCAAATAGTTCAGTGAATTTGAGAGCATCATAATAAGTGGAGTATTCAAGGTTCATACTATTTCTTTCAATAAAGCATAGTGAACTATATCCGAACCAAAGTAAGGCTCAGTTGGATGCTAAGTTTTCTGGTACACCAATCCGGTGCTATGGTTTACTTTTCAGACTGCGATTAGTGTGTGAGTAAAGCCTTCGGCGATATAGATTGCATTCGACTGCTGAAATGCTTGAAAATACTGTTTCGACAGGTTTCTGTTAGTAATACTATAAAGAAGGAACAGCTGGGAAAATTCAAGTGTGACTTATCGATGAGAGGATTAATCATGGATTAAACAGCTCAGACTATGGAAAGATTTGTCGATTTGCTTGACCTGATAATAGAAACTATCTTATCTCATGTTCTTTGTGCATTGTTTGATCGCTTGTTTTAGCTACCAACGTTAGTTCGTTAGAATTTCGTCCCATAGAATTTTTCAGCATCTGGCATTCAAAGAATGCTACTTCCTATGACTGTGTATTGCTGGTAACGTATGAGGATCGTTTTTGGATAAGGTTTGCATTTTGCAAAATCGTGTTCAATAAAATTTCACAGCGAACATTCACATCAAGTTCATAACAAGCACATTATTTCCTATTTTTAAATTGCCTTTTACAAAAGACGTTTAGTATTGTTTGCGATTCCAAAGCTTTCAGTCGGTACAATGCTTTAACTCAGTCTAAGCGTGACAGAGACTGGCTGTCTCATCCTTGAGTTGCCAGCTTTCCGTTCTTCATAAATCCTGGTTGAAGAACCAGGTTTCGATATAATCACTAACTTTTTTGTATATGAGTTAAGAGAAGTTGACTTTAGAATTGTAGGGGTCTCGTCAGGTTAACAATTTAACGTACAAGAGAGAGCCAGACATTCCCTCCAGCATTGGGTTGTCATACTCGATGTCATCACCAGGCTCTCCGTAGATGGCTCAAACTAGACATCTTGCAGTTTAAGATGATCGAACAAGTCGCCACACTCATTCATCAGGATTGATAAACTCTTGAGCTTACACCCGATGTATTATCAGGCAAGACCACTGGTATCGAGATACCTTTCCTATCAGTCCACTTTTACTGTCTCAGAGAAACAAAGATATGGCGCGTATTGCAGGTCCTGAACCGTGATTTAAAATTGTGCCCATGTTTCACACATCGCAGTCAGACACATTTTGTTAGCATAAATTAGTTCCTTTAAATCGTCCGTTTTGTTGCACAATCTCACGATGTTCATGCGTAAGAATTTCATAAATTCGATTTGAAATTCATGTGCATCCTTTTCTTGTTTTTCTAGATGAGCAGTATTATAATAAGGAAGATTTTATGAAAAGACAGTCTCCGCTCGTTCCATGTAGCTATTGTTACGGACAGTCCACAGTTGTAAGAGTTACTTCTTATTTGCTTTACTACACAATTCTTGTAGCTACTCTGGAGGTATGTGGATTCCAGTGAGGAACCGGCAGTTATCGCAAGATATGCCCCAGGAGTAGGCAGAAATGTTTACGAATGTAGTAAAAATGTCTGACAACGGGTAAAATAATAATGATATAAATAATAATGATTTACCCTCAAAAAATAACATGTTATGAGACATGCTGATTTACAGGCAAGATCAAAATGTTAAGATTATTAACATATGTTTTGTAAAACGTTGTTCAGTTACTGAAATATTTCACACGATACATTAGCTTCATACAGATGGCTGATATTTTTCATATAAAATTATAGATAATTTTCCAGACTCTACAATGTACAATGCGAATAATTGACGCCAGTTGCAAAGGTTGCGTTACGACAAACTTATTAATGACTGCGAAACAATACAAGGTAGAGCCAGGTCTACATATAACAAGAATTGATGAGGTAAGCGTGCTAAGATCAGCTTGATATTCTTCACAAAGTAAATTTACAGGCTCCTGGGTAAAGTAACCAAGTCTTCGGTAAATATCTGGACTAATATTTAGGGACTGGAATAAGGTGCTGAAAGGGAAATAAAGAGAACGGGGCGATAAGCAGAACAGAAAATATCCGTGTTTAAAGCCAAACGATGACTCAGCAGATACTTTTTAAAATTAGTGAACTAACTGTACACCTGCATTTATGTAGGTTAATGAAGACAGTTCAGTAGTAAGATAATGAATGGACAATTAATAGTATGAATAGAGGAAATTCAGAAGCACTGAATTGTTAGTTATATTGTTGATTTACAGAATATAATAATGAAGCACAGTGATCTGATGCTTTTGTGATATTTTGTATATCCTTTTTCCTTTTAGCGCTGTAGCTCAAGAATCTGTGAACGAGCTCTTTTTCAGTATAATTGTCTAGATCTGCCCGCAATACGATTTCTTGGTAGGAAGTTAAAACCAGTGCACGTTTACGAACATGGGTCGTAGACGAGGTTAACGAGGAAAAGTAACATCACTATCACTGACTTGTTACATCCTGCTATATCATAAGGAGCCGTAAGGAAACAAAATTTTCTGCCCCACAGACATGGGTTGATTGCGGTTATCGCCCCACCGTCATGAATGCTGGTGATGTTAGGCTGTCCTACATTTAATGGTAGATTTTAAACAGTGATTTTTAGTCTACGCTCTATTTTTTGTACACCTTATCGGAATACATTTTCTCTACCAGCTCCACGTTGCAAACAAACCAGACAACCTTGGCTTCTGTATCCATGTAGCTCATCATACTGCTTTTAAGAAAACTACTGGTAAAAGTTGTAAGATATGTGTCAGTTAATAGGTAGTTTGGAGATAGGAAGGACAGTGAGTTGGAAAAAGAATAAAAAGAAAAGAGAGTTGGAATAATGTTAAAAATTAAATGAGAAAAGCGATACGTTGGTAAGCAGGCAAGGTGTTTGGATGTTACTTAATTGGGGAGATAAAATTGTATTAAACTGTTAATACTTAAACAAGAAGGAACTCACAATTCTACAGGGATTCTGAGTTCCTTTTAATTGACAGTAGTTGATCAGCATCTACAGGATTTTCAATTTGTCTGTCTACTAGAAATAAAAACTAAAACTGTTTTGAAGATTGGAATTTAATTTATGAGAGAAGTCACGGGTAGCACCTTAAAGATATAACCTATTACTCTTAGTAGGAGCAGGGGGATTTGTC